ATTGAAACACCTTCCGCTTGCCTCATCTTGTTACCCGTCATCACCGCTGGAGATGCGACGACACAGAGGGATTACAAAAAGAATGCGATTTGTAAAATGAATAAAGGTGTTCGTTCCTGAACATGAGATACTGGAAGACCAGGTGAAAGCTATAGGATATATGTATCTAACCGCTTCTAACAAATCCCTGCAGTGATTTTTCATGAACTTACTTTCGTTTTTAACCCAATATTCGCCAGATTATTTACTGTTTTATATTTTGACGGATTTACTTACCTGTTCACGCTGAGATATTAAAGAAAACGGCCATCTTTATCATAAAATAATAAAAGGAAATATAAAAAACACAATTTAATGTTTTCTTGTTATAATATATAATATAATATAGTATATATATGTAGTATAATACAAAAGAATGCAAGTTACGCAGTTGGCTCAGGAAACATAAGTTACATATTTCTTTTTCATTCCATTCTTTCCTTAAACACTTCTAAGTTTACCCCAGAAACTTTACGTATAGAAATAAGTATTTCATTATCTTCAATTCTTACCTTTATAACATTTTTTCCACTCTATTCATAAAACGTGAAATAATTTTAACAGATATCAGAATGGATTTGCTTGCAGAGATCCCAGCAAAAGAAAACAGTTTACCATATTTAAAACACATTGCCTTTTTTATTTTATATTACAAATTATTTCAAGTTCGCTAAATTCCCAGTTTGTTTCCTTATAATTGAAACTAAGATTGCTAACTTGTTCTGTTTTAGGTGTTTTAAAATTACTTTATATTCAAAAGAGATCCCTTAAAATCACCAGATGTACATTATTCACCTCAGATGCTCCATATTTAATAATTAACGAACCAACCAGCTTGCATAGATAAGCTGTCACGCTTTTTCCACATGTATTGGCTTACCGAAAACAAAACTTCCCTTTTCGATGGTTCGAAGTTGGAAGCTCAGCGGAGCCCTGAAAAATTTTGGAGAGCCGAAAAGGCCACGTTCCAACCCCGTGGACCCCCCTCCCACGCCGAGGAGTCGCCGCCTTTGGCATCCAATGAAGCCGCAAAACTGCGGTTCGGCCTCCTCGCTCGGCATTGTACCCGGTGCTTTCCCATCGGCAGCCCCCTTTTGCGGAGCTCAGTGGCTCTGCACAGCCCCCCTCTCAATACCCCCTGCACTCCCCTGTGAACCTACAAAATCCCCTTCCCAACCCTCGACGCTTCGCTTCGTTGTGTTCAAAATGGCAAATTGCCATGCTAGCCATGCCAGCGATCCAGGGACGGCGGGGGAATCGGAGTGCAGGAGGGGTTGGTTGGTTGGTCGGTTGGTCGGTTGGTCGGTCGGTCGGTTGGTTAGTTTCACGGCAAACTGAACTGATGCAGCGAAATCAAATTCGTTTTGCGTGTTTCGCATAACGTCTGCTCCCTCCTCTTCGACTTCCAGACACACCTTGGTCGAAACAAAACCCCCCCTTGCTCCAGCTCCCCCCTTTCGGCCCCCCAGCAGGTCCCCAAAGTCCCCGTAATTCCTGGCCTCGTATAAATTCCAAAACGTGCCGAGGATTCGCTTGGTTAACGCTCATTTTGTTGTGCTCCCCAGCCAAATATCGCCGTCTCTGTTCCTCGGCGGCCCTGCAATCTGCCCTCCCTCTTCATTAATTTTAATGGTTATACACACGAGCAATATTCCCCTTATTCGGGGATCGGGGATCAAAGTTGAGACTTTCTGTTTTTATTTTTGGCACTTATCGCCGCCACCGATCTGACTGGAAAGTCGAAAATTGCCAACGTAGATTAGATTCGCACAATTCCGTTTTTATGGGCACCCTAAAACTAATACGTTCTTAATTGGGAGTGATTTACGGCTAACGAGATTGCCATACTGCCAACAAATAATTTTACTACCCATTGAAAACTCATAAACTGAGACAATCCTTGTAGATAGTTGGCCATGCATTGTAATTTATTTGTTCATTTTTTGGTTAAGCACATTCAAGTTCCAAGGAATTGTCATCCAACGCGAAGCAGTTGACAAGCAATATTCATTTTACTATTTGCATTAAAACTTGGGAAGTCATTTTACAAAAAGAAGTGAGTTTCAGACATTTTAAAAAGCCAGTGTTTTATGATTTGTTTGCGAAAAGGAAAAGGAAAAAAATTGCATTCAGTAATATTAAGCAACAATTTACCAATCAATTTTATATTCTTTGCTAGACCAAAGTTATTAGATCTACAAAGAATCTTAAGCATTAAAAAGTAAGTAACTATTTGCCTTGATAAGTTGTTAATACCAATAACTATTCAATATTTAGTTTCGATCAATTGGTTATGCATGAACCAAATGCTAATAACTTTGTTGTTAAAGAACATATGTATGTAGGTACATATGTATGTATTTAAATTAACAATTCTTCTTCAGGACTTAAGTTTGAAAGCTTATCACTAAGCTTATTGTTCATATTTCATAAAGTTTATTTCTTAGATATATATGTTTTTTGAATACATCTGTTAAAAAAGATCGACACCATTTTACATCATTAAAACATTTTGTTCAGGCTTTCATACTTTGCATGTTTGGACCAATTCTATCATAAACATTCAAGATATTCACTCTAACAAGTTATTAAGCTATCCAGATCTATTAGGTTGCCCTACCCAGTGGGTTCTAATTGATATGCATATAATAAGTGCAATCCATTATCATTAATAACAGAGCGCGACAAATCGACGGCACGGGCTACAAAAATGCCGGTGAAATTGCTTCGCCCCACACCGATAAAATCAGTTACGTAAGCTAAGTAATGTATAAAACACGTGATTAATTAACATGTTAATATTGGCGACAGCAGCGTAAATATTTGCCTTATTTGCTGGCATTTACCTTCTATAGAAGTTGAGCAATCAATGTGCGAAATCTTTATTTCTGAGGCGCAAAAGTTGGCTATTCTTATCTTCACGAATGAAAACAAAAGAATAGTTTTGGGTTTTAGCTCTTCACCGCCAAATTCGTCAACACCCTCGGGTATATCATAATTTAAATTTACTTATCAGGGAGAGTGTTTGGCATGCGCCTTAGACATTTGATTAATTGGTTTTTAATGCCAATAAAGCTTGGGAATTTTTATTGGAAGTACAAAAAGTTATATTACGATATCGAACCTTATAAGGTTTCTACAAGCATTGACTTTTTCATTAAAGTACTTTCCACCAAATATGGTTTTCTATCAGTAAAATAAATCTTGTCATGGTAAGTAAGATTACACGAGTTCCAGTTAAAAACCACCTTTTAAATTGACTAGAAATCTCATACCAAAAATGAAAAAATTGCAAAAAAATTCATTTCGTCATCTCTACATAGAATATATAAAGTTTTAAGAATACTTGGCATTTTATACTACTTACAAATTACAAATTACATTAATATTTGCAAGAAAAAGAAGAATTCTAAAAATACTCCAAGTAAAAGGATAAACTGGAATATATTAAAATCACATTAAAAAACCATTTCTGGAAAGAGAAAACACTTCGATCTCATTTAAGCTTCCCACAAGATGGCCAATTAATTAGGTTGGCAAACCAACCGATCTGACACAATATTATGTGACAGCGAATCAGTTACATCAGCAGTGACTGCGGAAAATGAGCAGATAATAAATCATAACAACTAAGTGTTTTCAATTACCCAATTTACCAATCGCGAATCGCAAAGCTGGGCACGTTCCCGCTGAAACAGTCGCAACAACTAATACTTAAATGCCATTTATCAGTGGGCCATGTCGGGGGGGAAAGGGGTTGGGCTTGGTGCTTCGAGGGGGAGGCGGGTGGTGGGTGGCGAGGGGGCGGCACATGCCAAACGGGTGGCCGGATGGAGCGAGACAAGGCGATTTGGAAAGCTTTCAGCCAGCGGAGGCAACAAATACAATGTAAAGCTGATAAGTCTGTTTTCGCAACGACAGCAAAAAGTCAAGCGGCGTCTGCTGCCCCCTTTTCACCCCCCTTCCCCCCCCCCCTTTGGTTTCTCTATATTTTCCGGGGGTGCGCAGTAAAGTGCGACATTTTGCTGCTGATTAAGTAGCGTTCGTTTTTAATAAAAAGTACGACGAGCAAATAAAACAACAAGTTGCCTGAGAAGCGATGACAGCGTGACACGCCAGCGAAAGTCGTGAGATTAGGAATCCGAATGGAAATCATCTTTGACGTTTAAATATCTAATTAGGAAACTGAAACGAAATTATTTTATTTGTTCAAAGAACAAGTCTGTAAAATAAATTGTTTGTAGCCAACCTACCTAAAATTGTACATTGCCTAAAAATGTTTAAACTAAAGCCTACGAAGTTTAATGTACCCATATAGGGTTTATAAAAAGTTTATAGCATACACTTTTTTGTTCAGAAACATTGATTATTCAGTAATTTTCTCAATGAATATTTAATAAAAAATTTTAAAAAGACGGTATTACATGTTTGCATTGAGAAGTGGCTCTTTAATTTGAGTTCCAATCACATATAGTTTACAATCTTATAATCACTTTAAAAACTTTTTCTTTTTAAATATACATATTTTCCATTAAACCTTATCACGCTCCCATCGCTGAACCAAATTCGCTGCTACTGTCAACTGGTGCATACACCGCATACATAGCCGAAATAAAGCTGCCGCCTGGTGAAGCTTCCTTCGGCTCGCCTTCGTCCTTGTGCACGTCCTCGTGAATCCTTGGCTTCGGCGGCAGTCGCCCTTGCAGAAGGTTACGCCACTGGGCTGGAATTGATGGGTGAAGGGACGGTTGGGTGGATGGGTGTTTGGGTGGATGGGTTGTTGGGTGGATGGGTTGTTGGGTGGGTGGTGCCCTGGCACGTGGCCCGTTATGTGGAAGCCACTGTGGCAAGACTCTGCGGCTTTGCAGGGGAATCAGTAGCCACACTGGGAAAATAAATAAACAGATCGAAACCATAGAATTTCGGGGTTAATATAAAGGCATATATTTGGGATCGAGAGGTCAAAGGAGTCGTTCAAGAATGACACTGATTATAAACAAATATTGACTTGCTGACCTTATAATCAATTGAAACGCTAATCACTCATAAATTCCCTGCGAATTTAGTTATCAAACATGGATAAGCCAGTTGTGCAGGCACGCGTAGTCAAAGTTCTTGGTCGCAATGGCTCCCAGGGTCAGTGTACCCAGGTCAAAGTGGAGTTCCTTGGAGAGCAGAACCGTCAGATCATCCGCAATGTGAAGGGACCCGTTCGCGTGGGCGACATCCTCACTCTTCTGGAGTCTGAACGCGAAGCCAGGAGGCTGCGCTAATTGGCGATCTCCTTGGAAATCCTTTTTGTCACAATGTTTTCGGAGCTAAAAAATTCCAAATAATTCTAAGGAGACTGCTGCATATTCGTTAAACAAACAAAGGAAAAGACACATCTAACTTAGAAGAACTACGCCAAAATATGTTTTAAATAAATCTCAAGAGCTTTGGAGCGAACTTGAATTACAATTTTCTAAGGAAACTGCAAGAAAACTCTTTTTTAGTAAAAGGAATGTTAAATCTAAACATATATTATATAACTTTAGACTAAAGTTAGAATTTTTCGACCATTCAAAACCTTTTAAAAATGTGTCTTTCGGTTATTTTCGAACCGTTTGGAAATAAAAACTGTAACTTACTTTGGTGAGGAATGATTTCTCTGCTTTAGGTTGAAGTAAGCAAAGGTTTTTTCATAACTTCAAACCATTGAATGAGACAGCCCAATTTCTCACAGTGCATTCACCAGGAGCTGGGACAAAGGGCTTTGGTTTTAGCGTGCTGCCATATGTTTCCGGCAAGTGCTCGCCCACCGCCCAGCGCCCAGCGCCACCCACTCCTTTATGGGCCATGAAAAGCGTTGAAATCCGCAATGCCAACAAGTAAACTGCGGCCCAAGTGAGCGGGGGTGGCAAGACATCGGTGATTTGTGGACCCGAGGGTTCGAGGGGGAAGGATGACTCGATGGCACGATGGGTCTGTAACTTGAACCGACTTCCTTCGGACGAGGCGACACCTTCTTTCGACGCCGCTCGCTCTGATTTATCCACAGCCCATAAAAAATATAAAAAACCACGCTCGCATTTGTTATACACTGTGTTCCATTTTCATGTTTTTATTGTTTTCGAAAATCAGCTAATTTAACTTAGTGTGTGAGGGTTGTGTTTGTGTGTGTGTGTGTTTGTTTTGGATTACATTTCGAGGGTTTTTTTTCTAACAATATTACATACAGATGTGCATACAATCAGATTTCTAAACATATATGCTTTATATTTAAGTATTCATAGGTTTATTTAGTTAAGGTGCCGAACAGTACAATATCCGCTTAAATAAGTCGAGCGATCCGATCAAAGCCTTCACATATACAACTAGATATATCTCGTATATATCGCAATAATAGGAATAAATAAATATACAACAATCAGGAGTCGAGCCAAAGAGTGTTTGGAATAGCTGGATGTCGATCCGAGTTCTTTCAATTTGTTTGATTGCCTGGAAATTATGTTAATTTCGCGGCGATCACAAGGGATGCTGCGAAAATTTCCAGGGGGTTGCAAATAGATACGGAAAAATTAAGGGTGGCTCTACCACCATATTCCGAAATTCAGCTATTCCTACAAGAAACTCATACAATTTAGTGTTTCCCTTTCCTCCCTTATAAACTTTTTAATTCTTTCTTCGCTTAAAATATGTACAGACGATATATAAATAACAAAACAAAAAATATCAGCTAGGAAAAGAGGATAAGAGTACGAAAACCTAAAGCCTTGTTCGAGTGTACGAATATCGTAAATATAGGAAGGAGTACATATATCAATATCTGTATAATGCATGTGTATATATAGTAATTCATTTGGTCGAAGCTCTAAAAATTAAAATTCATTTCCAAGTTGCTGGGTGCTGGTTTGTTTTTTGTTTCTTTTTTTTTTGTTGTTTTTGCTGGCTTCGATTTTTAAATTTATGTACAAAGTTCGTGCTGCAATTAAACGTAACTCGCTTAAACAACTAATACGAAAAAGTATCTACAAGATATATATATGTATATTTGGGTATATGTATATAAATATACGCATGTGTGCCAGTGCGAGTTTGTTATTTTCATTATTCGGTTTTGTTTGCTTTTGTTTATTATATATGCCCAAGTATTGTTTTGTATCTTTATGCCTGACACGCTCGCTCAAAGCGGCGCAAAATCGTTAAATTTTTATCGCCCCGATGAGGAACGTGAGTGTGTATCGGGTATCGGGCATCGGGCATCGGGCTGTATCTTTCGCTATGTGCGAGTGTGCTACGAACAATCTAGCCGCCACCGCCGACACCACCGAATTTTCACACTTCGTGGCAGTTTTTCCGAAGGGTGTGGGCCAAACACTTTCGGCACTCAATGTGTAATCAAATATTCCTGATGCGATTTCCGTCCTCCTATCAATTTGTGGTTTTTTCTTCTTCTTTTTTTTTTTTCTTCAGAAAAGAGTTTTACTATCGCCCGTTTGAAAATAATTTTGCTATTTAATAATGTGTTTTGTTTGATTTCGATTTGGACTTTCCCCAAAAAAAGCCAAAACCCAACCGAAGATCTATCTATTAAAGGCATGTGGTTGTGTTTGTGTGTGTGTGTGTGACCTTATCTCGGTTTAACACATATTTGCTGTTGATATTTTATAATTAATTTTGTTGTTGCCTTCGCCTGCTTTCGAAAATGCCAGCGCTTTTGATTATTATTCTCCTCCTCGCCTCTCTCTCTCTCTCTCGCTCTCCCTCTTGCTCTCTCTCTCTTCTTCTCTCGGTTTATTAATTTATGAATTTTGTTGCTGGCATTTTTGAAATTTGCTTGGATTATTTATTTAGTCGCGTACTAATTCGATTGCAAATGTTTGCACACAAATATGCAAATGATGCGGTTCCCTATCCAACAGATACATTCCGTTGGAGTGTGTAGATATTGCTTAGCTTTGAGTGTATTTCGGGTTAGTTCTAAGGCTTACGATCATTCTACTGGTTAATTAAATTGCACTTTTCTTCGGGAGCGAGGTTGGAAAACTTGTGCTGCAGGTGTTGCTGTTTTTTGTTACTTTTTTCATCAGCTCAGTTGCTGTCCGTATTCTGTAGATTCTCCAGCGGCGCCACGAGATACATTTGCGTTCCGCACAGCCAAAGAAACGCTGCAAAAGATACGAAAAGAAACAGAGAATGAATGAAAATGTTATTCGCCTTTCTATGGGTGAAAATACATTATGATGTAATGACTCTACTCGGCCGATGTTCATTAAAAGGCCAACCAAAACAGAAAAAAACGCAACACGAAACGTAGGGAATGCGCAAAAGCCAAAAACTATAGTACAAAACAAAAAACAAAATGGAAATTTAAACAAAAAGGGGTTACGACTTTTAGATACCCCCTACTTATTGAACTTAAATCTTAATAATGATTGCTTTTTGATTGATAACAGATGAATTAAAATTATTTTTATGCATTTTTCACATTTGTAATACATTTTAAAAATCAAAAAAAAAAACATAGTAAAACACAAAGAATGATCTCAAGACTCAAATCTTTTAACGGACGGACAAACAAACGGACAAACTTTAAGTTACCAGACTTTCAACGATAATCTAGGGTATTTTTATATTCTGTACTTTTCCTTCTAACCCGTTACCAATAATCTAGGAAATACAATATACCCATTTTAAGTTACAACAAACGGGTACAAAAAACACAACGAAAAAGTCAAAAACTCAGTGTAGTAACGTCTAAAATAAAAGCAAAGCGTTGTATGAATGACCGACCACGACCGCTGTCGAGTGACGAGCGACAAACAGAGCGAGATGGGTGGAGAGTGAGCCAAAGAGAAGGGGAGCGGGAGCGGGAGAAAGAGCGGGAGAGAGTACGTAGAAGAAGATACATTATTTGAGTATAATGACTACTTGAGAAAAGCCAAAACAGAAAAGAGGCAGCAACAAAAACGAGGCAAGGAAAACGCAAAACACGAAATGTAATTTGTATAATTTGAGTCTCAATTCCATTAAGTGTGGGAAATGCGCCAAAAAGAAAAATTATGTAGCCAACTCATAAAGGAAGTGGGAAGAATAAAAGCAAAGAAGAACTAGCCAAGTTAGCGAGTCGAGGAAAGCTGGCTCTAACTAAAGAGTTTGCTTTGCTAATGTAGCGAAGAGTTGAAGAGGTCACAACAGATCGTTAAACAGAAAAACAATTAGAAAACGAAATAAAACCAAGCAAAAGATAAAACTTGTTTGGTTGATAGCCAAATATTTGAACATTTAAACCGTCAGCTTGAACATTTGAATTAAATATCCAATCCAAACTGCAACAAAACATGCATTAAAATGCAGAAATAAAAACGAAACTTGCGAAATCAATCAAATTAAAGCGCTTAAAAAGATAAACATATGGGTTGAAATAAATCTGTTTCATAAAAAAGGCGAACAAAGTTTTTTCTTACTTATTTTGCAAGTAATGATTTTAACAGTAGCAGAGACATTAAAATTAACTGACAGAAACAAAATGAGGTGTACATTTCATGCTTTTCAATTATCATTAACCTAAATTGATTTAAAAAAGGATGACAAACAAAAGTAGATTTAAGTTATGCAGTGCAAAAATTGATTTGACTTGTAATAAATATCTAAAAATGCAAAATGCAAAAATGCAAAACTGATAAAAAAATTAAATATCGAACATAATATTGCTCAACTATTTATGGGTAAAAATTGTACAGTTACAGGGTAAAAATTGTACAGTAAAAAAAGTGTTAGAGAAAAGCTAAATTCTCCTTTTATGAAATATTTGTGTTTCTGGTTTATCCTTCTTATAATCTAGATTATAATTATATTAGATTCGAATGTTTTAAACTAAATATAATGGTTTGTGGCACTCACCTTGTGACTAAGCGGAACTCGCCACCGGAGCGTTGGCAATCTGCACGGGCTGCTTGGCCATCGACTCGGGGACTCCGGGGACACTGGAAACGCTGGAAACACTGGAAACACTGGAGGGCATTGGCAGCAGGGTGCTGGCCGCCGAAACGGTGATGGCCGTCTCCTTGGGCTCCGTCCTCGAGCTAACGGCTGTGGCGGTGGTCTTGGCCAACTCCGGCGACTTGGCCGCATTGCAGCTGAGCACTGGTGGCGCCTCCTCGGCGAGGGCAGCCGCCTTGGCCTCGGCTCGAATATTCAGATTGGCCGCAACCTGATCGATGGTCGTGGGCTTCTTGGTCATTGCCCGTGGCGAGGTGGCTGCACTGCATCCCGAACTGCTGCCACTCGAGCTATTTTGGCCACTTGTGCTGCTGCCGCTGCCGCTGCTGCTTGTTGGGCTGAGATGCCCCGAATTGCTGGTGGAAATCTTTGGCTTTTCCTCGGCGCGAACGGTCAAAGGCTTGCCAATGCTCGCCGCTGTTGGCTGATTGCGAAAAGCCAAAGCCGAGGGATTGGGAATGCTCCTAACTGAAGCATTTTGGGGTCTTACCAAGGCATTGGCACTTTTCGGTTTGTTGGTGGTGTTGTTGCTGCCAATATTGCTGCTGCTGCTGCTGCTGCTGGCGGCTTTTATAGAGATTTTCTCCCTTGCATTGGCCGATTCGGATAGCATATGCAGATTCTGCAGATCATCGCCGTTGGAATTGCCATTGGCACTATTGGCATTATTGCCGCCCGAGGTGCTCGATGGTCCACCATTGCTGTTGGCCGATATATTCTGTTTGATTTTATTCAACGCTGCCTCCAGGCTGTTGCTCGTATTGTTGTTGTTGTTGTTATTGTTGTTGCTGTTGTTGTTGTTGTTATTATTACCCGTTGGCGGTGATGTGGGCGCCAATTTGGCGGTACTATTCCTTCCTGGGTTAGCTGATAAATCAAGTATGTCGGCATCCTTGGCCAAAACACTGCCGCCCGTTGTTGTTGTTGCTGCTGCTGCTGCTGTTGTTGTTGTTGTTGTTGTCGCTGGAACTTGGATTGCTGGCCGAAACTCGCGCAAACTCGTTTTCGATGCGGCAGTGCCATTGGCTTTGCTTTGGCCACCAGCTGGCGGGGATTTCTTCGAATTGGCTTCCATCTTCGAGCTTACCTTTGATGGAAATGCTGATGTATTGTTGTTGTTGTTGTTGCGCAGATTTATTAATGCAGGCGGCGATGTGCGATAAGTACTCGAGTTGTTGGAGCCGCAACCCAAGCCGGGATTCTTGTGGCCCCTTTGGACGCTAAGTGCCACTGACAGTGGCGGCGACTTGACAATCGCCGGGATCGTGGTCATCGGCATGGGCAGCGGCAGCGGCAGCGGCATGGGCGGCGACTGGGGGGTGCTCCTCTTCAGGCCCGAGTGTCCCGCTTGCTTGGGCAGAGCCACCGGTGGTCCCATCAGCCGACTGCCCGACGAAGCTGGCGGACTGAGAGGCGGCATCGTCAGGCTTTTACTGGCCTGCTTCCCCGCCAATCGCACAATTTCCAAGGCGGGCAGATGGGCACTTGGCTCCGGATAACTGAATCCCGAGGAAGTGCTTCTCGGGCGAGGAGTAATGGTCACCTGGGAGGAGTTGGGTAAAGCCAAACTCAAGTTGGCCGGGCACAATAGAGGCAACTTGTTGGCCATCTCGGGTCCGTAGGATCTCATCTGGGGATTGGGCAGGAAGCTGGCCGCCTGCGTTTTGGCCTGCATTTGCATCTTGGCCGGGTAGCTGGCCATCGCTTGGGCCTGGCCAAAGCGCGCCTGCTTGGCCTGCGGATGCGGTTCGTCCAGGGACAGAGATCGCTTCGGCTGCTTGTTGGCCGCACTGGCAATGGAGCTCGGCGTGGAAAGGTAGCGCTGCATGTGGTACATGTTCCGGTTGCTCGGCGCCTGTGGCACCACAAAGTGTCCACCGGGCGTCGTCGTCGGCTTGCGATTGTTGTTGCTGCTCAGCGGCGGCTTCACGGGGTTGCTCTTAGCCAGGTTCGACTGTGCAACAGTCTGGTGTTGCTGTGGCTGCGGATTTGATGGCTTCGGTTTTACTGCCACACTTTGCGGCACACTGGGCGTGGAGCTGGGCGTGAAGGCCTTGAATAAACTGGGCGGCAGCGGTGGCGAAGTGGGCAGATTTATGTCCTTGATTTTGGGCAACACCCCCTGCTGCTGCTGCTGCTGCTGATCCACTGCCTCCGTTGTGGGCGTTGGAGGGGGCGTAGGAGCTGCTCCAACCACCAAGCTACTGATGCTTCGCGCCTCCTCGCCCAAAGTGCGATTCAGTGCCTCCGCAGTGGAGTTGCCACCATCCAGCTTCAGCTGTTGCAAGGCCAACTCTCCACCGGCCAGCGAATGCGATCGCTTGAAGTCCAACTTGTGGTTTGGCTTGGCGGTGATTTTCATCTTCATCTTGCCGTCCGTTTGCGAGGAAATCTCCGCGTGCAGCTTCTTCCGCTTGCCATTCGCATCCTTCGGCTCCTTGGAGTGCTTCTTCTTCCGCTTGCGATGGGAACTGGAACTGGAAGTGGAGGTGCTGGCATCCGCGGTGCCCAGGCTGCCACTCGAACCATTCGTGGAGCTGGAACACGAGGACATGGGCGAGGCATTGGGACTGTACTTGCTATCCGGATTGATAGCACCTTGCACCACTGGCTGCTCAATGGGCTTCAAGCCAATGTTCTTGGCATACGTCTCCAGGTCAAGTTGATGCACAGAGGAGGAGGAGGAGGAAGAGGTGTCCTCCAGTCGCGGACCCGCCGACAAAGGCATACTCAACTTGCTCTTCATGCTGTTCAACTCGATCTTCAGCTTGGGCAAATGACCCACGCCCTTTCGATTCGCCGTCTTCAACTCGAAGTCCTCGGCATCATCGTAGGACTTTCCCAGCTGCGAGGGCGGAATGCTGACCACGATGTTCGTGTTGGCCTCCAGTGGCACGTCCCGGGGCAGAGGATCCTGCTCCAGTTCGGGTTCACTTTTCACCTTGGAAACGGCGTAGTCACTGTACCGCATATCGTTGCTCCGCAAACTTTTGAAACTGCTCACCGGACTTTCGGGTTCCGGTTCCCGTTTACTCGAGGAAACCCTTTTGTTTTTGGAGGATGGCGAAACCTTTGGCGAGCTCTTACTTCGCACCTTGGAACGCGGCGAAGTGGAGTCCATTTCCGATTCCAGGTCATCGGCGAATGTCACCGATTTGGCGGACTTGTAGCGACGCACCGGGTGCTCCGGTTCAATGTCCTGGTCCTGGTTAATCCTGGACAGGTTGTTCTCGTCGTTTTTTGCTCGCTCGCTCTCGTAGAGCAGAATCCGGTAGCAGAAGGCCATGGGCGATTGCTAAATGGATGGACGGACGAGTCGCAGGAGGGGAAGAAACAGAGGGAAAAAGAGGGCAGGTTGACAAGGGTGGAAAATTGAATGTGGACATCGAACGCTAAGCTGCCGGCACAATTGGATTGGGTTTCCCCCAGACCCAAAAATCTATCGGGTAATTGAGATAAACCACAAAAAGGGACAATAGTCCGACCCACACAGAGGAAAAAAGGGCGTATTTCCCTCCTATTTTAAACTGACCAAAGTCGATAAGGTGGATTGGTTTCCAAGGTATATTTTGGCAGACCGGAACTCCGCAAATCATGTGGTGTGTATCAACCCCAGCCACCCTGTTTCCCCTTCTTGTGTTATGTTCTAAGCTTTGAAATGGCAGTAATTATGAAGTTTAGTTCGGTTGCTTAATGGTTTTATGCTGTCGGGTTATCCACGCATTAAAGTGCTCCAAGAGAGACTGGAGAACTGATAAAGTACTTCTCAAAACAAGTTAAATGTATACTATAATAAAATTACAGTATTATGAGGAAGTTATCATCTATATACATCGGACTTTCTCTCATACCAAAGGAACTTTTTCTGGTAAAATGTTGTGTGATTTTGTGTTATTATTACAATACCAAAACAGAATACGATTTTCTTTTAAAATACAAAAAAAAATGGATTTTCTCAAGACATTAATAATATGTATTATTATAATCGATTAAACCAATTGTATGCATCTATTTTTCTATCTATCTATCTACAAATTTCATAACAAAACTATTCTTCCCTCTCATCAAAAAGTTAAAAACCCAAAAAACTTTTTTACATCTTGAATCTTTAAAAAGTTCATACTTTTCTTTAGAAAACATACATAAATAAAACAAAATAATCAATTTTAGTTTATTTTCTCATACTAATGAAATTATTTTAGTATTTAAGCTAAAAAAAACACTAACTAAACTTCTCAAAACTCAACCGCTTATATTATAATATCAGTCTTCTTTCCTTTTTCTAAAAGCTTTTTGACAGTACATCCCTGTAACTGTTTTATCATTTCAATCCCACTTTTTTCTCTGTGCAGGGGAAATGTGAACAAAAGATTCACTTACCCGACTCCAGTTGTAGCAATAGCCCACGTCCATCAGCGTAAAGCTGGAGGGCAAAACCTCGTCCTCGTAGGTCACCTCCACCTCAACCAGTTTATTTTCCGGCTCAATATTGTACTTGGAGCAAAGGAAGCGTTTCAGTAACTCCACTCGCAAACCGGCGACACATTGCAGGTAAATTTTGGGTGGCACCTCGCCGGGTCCGCATTGGTGCAACATGGCGGGATGGTATTCCAGGGATAAGCTGTTGAATACAGGAAAACAAAAAAGCAAAAGGGATTTAAGAGCTGATTTTCCTGGGTTTTCTTTTCTCCTTAACTTACCTCACAAGTTCCGTGTTGGTGAAGAACTCCTGTTCCCGAGTTGTTTGTTCGTCCACCAGATCCTCGAACCTCTCGAAATCCGAGAGTTCTTTGCACTCCCTTTGATAGAGACCCGGCACCATTTTATAGATCAGAGATCTTAACGTATCATCCGATTTTAGATTTAGCTCATTGATTTCTTTGCCGCCGCTGGCTTTGCAATCCGGACAGTAGACCGATCGGAACAGGTGCTTCAATATGCAACTGCGACAATCTGCGGGGAAAATTGATAATAGTACAGGATATAATCATGGGTAAAGGTAGCGGGCATAAAGTTTAAACAAACCTAATTCTTTACTTAGAAAATTTTGGATTTTAAAGACAACATGATCCAAAATTACACTGCGCGTCATCAGATTAGCGCCCCCTGAGCATTCTCGGGTAATGTCCAATATTATCCAAACTATCAAGGCTAAAGCCATAAAACTTTTTTTGACGATACTTTTAATAATATTCTTCAAAATAAGATAAGGTACATAATGATAAGTATAACAATAATATTTTATTTATTTGAAAAGAAAATGTATACCAAAAATATGAATTTAATTTTGCGTCATCAGATTAGCGCCCCCTGCTTAAATTTAATGAATTTTCACTTAATGCTTAACAACTAGTAGTGTTTTATGTTTTATCTTATTATTTACTTATTTTCAAATCAAATTAATAGTGGGTGGTCCCGCCCCCATTTTCCAGGACCTCACAGATCCTGCTGGGAAGTGACTCGTACAATTTATCAATGTATTGTAATGATATTGAAGACCAAGCTTCTTTAATCCCGTCGATGAGCTCCAATTTTGTACTATACTGCTTTCCAGACTCGTATACTTTTATCGAGAGCCATCCCCACACGTTCTCTATTATATTTAAGTCCGGAGAGTACGGCGGCCACTCCAGGACATCAACGTTTTGGCCAAAATTAAAGAAAAAAGCGGTGTGGAAGCTAGAAAGTCCACTGTATTACGAGTCATAAAAAAAGCAGAACACTTGAAAAGACTAAAACTAAAAAAAAAAACCACAACTAAATAAGTTACGAAAGGAAATGCGCCTAAATTTTGCTCGCTCGCATATGACATGGTCGAAGGAGTGGCGCTTTGTAGTCTTTTCCAATGAAAAGAAATTTAATTTAGAAGGCCCTGACGGCTATAATTATTATTTCCATGAAATGCGTAAAGAAGAGCATATTTTAGATCGTTTACATAGCCGGGTAGGTGGCGTAATGGTATGGGGAGCCATATCCTATTATGGCACCTGTGAGTTACAATTTCTCACCCCGAAAATGAACGCCGTGGCGTATAGTAATCTTTTAAAAACGGCTTTCCCACATTTCCAAAATTGTTTTGGAAATCTTAAATGGCGTTTTCAACACGACAACGCTCCAATCCACACTGCCCGATCTGTAAAATCGTGGATACAGGGCAAAAACGTTGATGTCCTGGAGTGGCCGCCGTACTCTCCGGACTTAAATATAATAGAGAACGTGTGGGGATGGCTCTCGATAAAAGTATACGAGTCTGGAAAGCAGTATAGTACAAAATTGGAGCTCATCGACGGGATTAAAGAAGCTTGGTCTTCAATATCATTACAATACATTGATAAATTGTACGAGTCACTTCCCAGCAGGATCTGTGAGGTCCTGGAAAATGGGGGCGGGACCACCCACTATTAATTTGATTTGAAAATAAGTAAATAATAAGATAAAACATAAAACACTACTAGTTGTTAAGCATTAAGTGAAAATTCATTAAATTTAAGCAGGGGGCGCTAATCTGATGACGCAAAATTAAATTCATATTTTTGGTATACATTTTCTTTTCAAATAAATAAAATATTATTGTTATACTTATCATTATGTACCTTATCTCATTTTGAAGAATATTATTAAAAGTATCGTCAAAAAAAAGTTTTATGGCTTTAGCCTTGATAGTTTGGATAATATTGGACATTACCCGAGAATGCTCAGGGGGCGCTAATCTGATGACGCGCAGTGTATATTGCTTAAGGCTTACTAATTTCAAAAGAAATCATTGTTATTGGAGTTTGAAATTGGAGATAAAAACAGAATTGCATTCAATTCAACGGCTGTTTAAGCCATAATTTGTTAAAAACATTTTATTGCAATAGTTTTTATATTTTCCGGTTTAAATTCCTTATAAAATTAAGAGAACAATAACATTTTTGAAACAATATAGCATATGGTATAAGAACTTAAAAAATGAGTAGGTATTATGAGAATCATAAACCAAGATGTATAGTTTATGAAGAGGTCTTATGTTCCTAAGATAACTTCTGGGTTACAAATACGAGAATGAAGTACAGTACTTACAGGTATGGTAGCAAAAATCCACCACGGTTGGATCGATCATGTAACCGTGACAAAGTCGACAGGTTATCTGATCGTGGAACTGCCGGACATCCCGCGATGCCGGAGATGCGGAATCCATTTTGGAGTGTGGCTCCCTCGACTCCTCAGATTTGTGCGTGATTTGCAGGTGCATGGTCCTGCCTATTTCCCAATCCTAACACTTAATAGCCTCTTCCTTGGGGTCCTGCAAAAGGGACAAAGTTCGGGGTTAAGGGGACGGAATTTCCATGTATGGAATGGCATGCGCTCAACAAGTGACAAGTGACAACTGATGATGGCTAATCAACTGCTGAGGTCTTCCACATAATAACGATGACAAAGGCAAGAAGAGGGCCAACCAAAAAGGCTGGAAGAAGAAGAAGACACACACAACTGTGAGAACCAAGAGCTGTGGCACAATCGCATCGCCTAACCATCATCACATCACATCACCATCATCGTCGCTGTCGACATTTGTGGTTGTCCCGCCGCACTCGTCGGCAGAAAAGCCACAGAGGCAGAAGATATATCAACCGTGTATCTGTATCTTGTCCCAAAAGATACGGCAGCGTCAGCACACTAGCACAATACAGAAAACTTTAGACTAGTAAGCCAGCCATCCATATCCATGAATCGGAACAATGTGCTGCAAGCCCACAAAAATATGAAATGAAAAAGAGGAGAGCACAAAAGTAGCAACTTTGTGGGTGGGTTGCGGGTTTGGAGGGATGGGGGGATGGGGAGTCTTTGGTGGATTTGGGAGGTGGGGTTTTTCGAGTCTTTCGGTCTTTCGGACGCCCTTCGTGCCACAGAGGGCACCTAAACGAGAGAAGCCGAGAAGAGCCGAGAGAAAAACACAGAAAGCGATGTGCACTCGACGGTGTACTTGAAGCTAGTTTTAGCTTGGCGCCCCTTCTCCGTTCGGCTCCCCCCGCCCCTCTCACCCTCCCCCTCCCCTTTCCCTCCACTCGCCGCACACTTGCCATAAAACTACGAAAATTACGCTTTTGTGCCCTGCACACCACCAGTGGAAACTGAATTTCCATCATTATGGCGATGCCCTGACGATGATTACGAGTTGATGGCAGCCAGCCGAGAGTTCAGGGCAAAGTTCAGGGCATTGTGGATCGGTCAGGTTGTTCGCTAAACCGGCAACCGAGAAGCTAGGATACCTTCAAAACTAATCTACTTTAAGATTTTCATAAAAAAATATATGTCTTACAATCAACAGTTATTTAAGCAGCTAGCATAACAAGTTTTCTATGTTCTTATAGAATTTTTACATTATTCTTTTGAGAAAAACCTTTGAACCTTTCTCTATCTACAACTTAAAGATTTTGATTTAATTTGTTTTATTATTTAATATCTTCAAATCAATGCTGGTTTAGATCTGAAAAGCGATTTTCATTTAATACTACTAGCTTAAATTGTAAGCTTAAAGTTATCCTATCGAAATGATTGAATTAGTACTTAAAGAAGATAAAAAGTTCTTTAAATGTGTTAAATGTTATTTCAAACGAAAAAAATAAAACATGGAATTTAACGATAATTTGTAAGAAGTAAAATTTCTTAAAATAAGCTTTGTTTTGACGATTAGACCATTTTACTTTATGTTAGTTACTATATTTTAAGTGTACAAACCCCTCAAACGTTTTCATAAACAAACGTTTAGTGATTTTAAGTGTTGGGTGAGTTGAACATAAAGTTCATAAATATTTACCAGATTATTAAAACATTAAATTCAAATTAAATGTTGTCTATTATTAATTTTTAAAGTTCTTGAAATCTATTCTAAATGAAATATTAATCTAATTAGGTTCATTGTAGTCAACTTTTAGGAAACATAACGATTGCAAAAATGTGAACACATTTTAGGAATGCATTATTCAACTAAGTGTTCTTCAAATAAAACCACCTATTAATCTTGCTGCCAACCCATAGCACCACCCAACACCACCCACCGCATAGCGCAACCAAAAGTCGCATCTCTTCGCCCATTTTTTGTCTCCGTTGCCTTTTGATTCTTTTCGTTTGCCGCTCACGCGAAAATAACACCAAAGGGGGAGAACGGGGGGAGCTGAACGAAGGAGGCTGTGCTAGCAAAACAAAAAAGCAAACAAAAACAAAAGGCCGAGCGGCTTGAGCTAAAACTAAGCCATGCTAAAAGTGGGTGGTGGGAGTGCCCACGCCCACTCAGCTGGAAAATGTCAATCCAACGTTTGATGACGCTGTGAAATTGATGACGTCGACTCCGAGTGCTTTTCTCGATTTTCTTTAGCCCGCTTTCTGTTTATACGCCGCAATTTCGTAAAAGGCGCGCACTAACACCAACACACACAGAGTCACACACATGGTCACAGCTTGAAAGTGTCGGCAATAACAACAATTACAGTTAGGCCGGCACGAGCGCCCGCAGGGTGGTTACACACACAAACGCACTCCTTCTCCCACTCTCTCTCACACACACGCAACAAGCTGGCCCCAAGAAGAGACTCACAAAAAAAGACGAAAACATCAGCGAAAATGTACGAAATAAACCGTGACAACACGATGGGGCGTCCAGAGTCCAACTGAAATCCAATTCGAGGCGACAGAGAAATCCAACTCGCACTTGCGCTCCAATTCGCCGCGGTGCGAGAGAGAAACAAATTTGTATCTATTCGCCGCGGCGAGAGAGACGGCAAACAAACTTTCTACTTTTGCGCGGGCGCAATTTCGCCGTCAGTTCTCGCTTTCGCCGCTCGACGAAAATTCCAATACGGCGAGAATAACACGCACGCACACTTGGGCACTTGTGTTTACAAAATTTTCACCCATGCACACACACACATTTAGGCAGTGGGAAATTTTCGACAATTTTTTTTTTTATTTACCTACTTAAAGCAATTGCGTTGTTAGTAGAAGACTTCTTCTCTGGAGCATTTTCTTTTTCAATTTTCCATTTACAGTTGCCGACACCTACACAAACACACACGCGCTTTCGATTGCTCTGCTTCCTCCTCTTCTTTCGCCACTACAGCTGCTGTTATCGATTTCTCGTAAATGCACAGATTTTCGCTGCCTCTCTGTCGCACACACTCGCGCTTTCTCACTCGCTCGATTCGAGCGCGTTTCACAATCCGTTTCACGAAGTGCACAGCTCGAAATTTTTTCAAAGACTGATTCTGATTCGAATTCTCTTTCTTGGCGCGAGAGGCAAACCCGAGAGAGCCACCCGAACGCGACACGAGCAAGCACGGCCAACTGGCCTACCGTATCTGTGCGCGAGCGGGATGGCAAGTGGGTCTCGTGTCAGCAGACTGTCTCAGTCGCACTCCCTCGAACGATGTGTGGGTGGCGGCGTTCCTAATTGAATCCAACTGTCAAATGAGAGAGATTAACGCACATATTCGTGTGTATGTGCGTGCCGTGTGCCCGTGTATTGGCCTTGGCGTTTATAATTAACGCAAAAATTCACGTTTTTGCTGTGTTTTTTTCGTTTGGCCCGCCGCTGGCATTTCATTTTGTTGAAATCCGCGATGAACCTGTTTTGGCCATATGCAAAGTGCGTTTGCTCGCATCATTTGCCGCCACTTGATTTTCCGTTGCCGAAAGGGGAAAAATCGGTAATAGCAAAAAACGACGCCAAAAAATTTGCATTTCAAAGGATTTTGGCATTGTCCTTGAATAATTTTCCACACGTTTCACACAAAATGGTCTCATGCTATCGTTTACGTTAGAACAAAAAAGGGACTCTCTTGAGCAGAGTATCACGTTTGATCAAGTGACGAAGATAAATGATGGTAAAAACGAGTCCGTGACATGACGCCCAATTTGAACAAATATGAAGTGCTAACTGAGCTTGAAGCACTTACATGTGGACTGTTTCGGAGGTCAAAAACTGTTTTCAGAACATAAACATTAGCAGGACAGGAAGTTAGATTTAAAAAGCCGAAGGGTACATTGCAGACAGGGGCGGATCCACAAGGGTGGTTTCGGAGTTTTTCCCCACCCCTTCTGAAAACATTTTTAAATATTTAGATACAATTTTGTACTAAAGCAGCGAAGACATTTTTTATACAAGTTTACGGATTTTGTGTGTTAATTTTTCACTATCTCTGTTCTACTTTTTTAGTGAGCTTACAAACAGTTCAGAGCTTGGACTTGATTTGTTTACCAATTTATCTTTGCTCTCAAAACATTTGATTTAATATATGATTCCCTTTAGCCATTCAATTCAGATCAATTATCTCACAACAAAACAAACTCTATATGAACATGAAAAACTCATATATTATCTTCATAAAATTATAAAAACCTTTGTGTTAAAACAAAACATTTAAAAAAAATTCTCATGGCCTAATTATTATTTTTAACCAGAAAGACTTTTAAAAAGAAAATATTTTTGGTGAAGACAATGTTAAACTTTGTTAAACATACGCTTCTAATAAATTTCTTTGGCCAGAATGCTTTGCCAACTTATGAGCACCGCGTAAAAGCAGGAAAAGTTGCCTTTTGGGAAAACAGTTCTATATGCTGGTTCAAAAATTTACATTTTTTGAATCTATTGACGAATTGCTTTGACCAAATTTTCATCGATCTACACACACCATCGCTTTCTGCAACTTTGCGTTTTTAGAACCAGAGTCATGGGTTTAATTTAAGGCAAAAACAATGTTTTGTTTAAATATTGTCTTTAAACCGTACACTTCGTATTCAAATTTATTGCGGATGAAAGAGTCATCAACGTGGGACATATGTAACACGTCGCTTTCTCCATCATATTTTCGTTAATTTGCCTTTAACAGAGTATTTACTTTCTAGATGTTAATTTAACAATTTTCAGACAAACAAATTTTGTCAATGCTAAAAATACCGACCATTTGTATTTCCGAGCCGTCTTTGGTATATAAAAAGCATATTTAATGGCCTGTTACATTTTTGAAAACAGTGCGCACAACCTTTTTGATTAATTTCAATACTGAATCATTAAAGCTATTGATGCTACCGAATTAGGCGCGTTGTGGGTTGAAAAGTAGACTTAACAGTCACCACTAGAATTGACTACCTAAATCCTAACGTTCTAGCTCTTGTAGTTTCTAAAATTTCGCCAGTATATGGAAATAAAGGCAGTGAAGTGAAATTGTGGAAAACGCCTTTTACTACGTTCTAGGATATGCTTGTTCATAGCTTTATATCTATATCATAGGGACAAAAAGCGGATACGCCCACAGGGCGTATGAGGTAAAAAAGGAGAGGCTCTTAAGTTTCCAAGAATAGATCAGTATTCAGTACACAGAGTAAAACCCGTACAATAACCGTTTTGATATTGTCTCCAAGTTTACTCAAATCACTTTCCTTATTTCATGCAAAAATATAATTTTTATTATCAAAATTTAATGTGAATCCTTGTCACATTGAAATGGGGCTTCGAATTTAATGTAGCGTCTGCAAATCTTCAAAATTTGCGTATTGGCATTAAAAAACGTATTATTCAACGAATTTGTCGAGGTCACAATGCTGTTTTTAGAAATTGTAAGTTGCAAGAATGAAATAAATTAATAAAATCATTCCTCGAATAGTTGATTGAAAAACATGTTCATAGTCTTTAGGTGTAAACGATTATTGTTTACCAGCATAAAAATATTATCGTTGGTAAAGATGATTTCAAAAATAATATTAGATTAATATGAAAACAATATTTGACGGATACATACGAATAAAATATTCGATTTATTTGCCATATTCATGTGTTATCCCATTTAGTGGTAAGTATAGTATTGAGCTGATTTTAAATAAAATAAGCAGCATTTAAGATAGCAGCCATTATATATTAACCACCATTCAGATGTTTGATTCGGAATATAGAATACCCATAATTTAAAACACTTTGTACAGATCATTTACTACAAGTTCGTGTTAGAAATCGGTAATTTCTAATAATACATATTCCAGGGAAATGATTTGTAATATATGACTCATTTATATCTGGTTCGTAACGTTCATTTTCGTAATAATTGTTAAAAGCGCTGAACTTATATAAAATCTGTTGATTAAAAGTCTCATTGTGACATACCTATAAGAAGTAAATATTGAAAGATTGAGTTCACCTTCATTTTGCAGAATAACTTTGATTGTTGGAAAAGGTGATACAATAACCAAAATGTTTGTTGAACAAACAACATATACATACCTTTAAACAAATTATAAGACCTTTATGTTAAATATAACACCTTATACTGTTCATAAATAAGACTAACAATAGCAACACTGAGCACTTACGTATTCCTCCCGAATAAATTAAGCACTTCCGACCTTTTTTAAGTCCGTTTGACACTTTGTTTCGCCCTTCCTTCCTGTATCATAATTTTAATAAACTCATTTCGGTACTTTCTGACCCCAACATCATCTGCAATGTGGACGGAAGGTGATTATACTGCTGTCCCCGAAAATGCGAACTGCACTTGCACCAACCCACGTTGAAAAAGCAGACACCGTGTGTCTGCGGGTGAATCCTTTAGAATCCTCTGGCATAATGAATAATTAATGTTGCAACTGCTCTGTGGTTTTGTACGTGCGGTTGGCAAGTACGAACGCAAATACACGAAAGTTAGGTGGGTGGGAAGTGGGAGGCAAGATACTAATTGCATTTACGCTCGCACGGAGTGTATTTGTGGGGGGGAAATGGGGGCTTCGGGTGATTCATTGACCTTGCGGGGGCTTAGAAAGTCATTTGCAATCGGAAATAAATACCGAATGGGTTTCAATTAAGTCCAGTTGAATTTTAGTGCTGATAGAGAACGAATACCACCTGCTGTTAGAGTTGGATATAGTTTTAAGTAAGTCCAAATCATTTTCGAAAATTATGCAAGGTAACTATATCAACATAAATTTTACTCTACTAAAATAAAACTATCAACATTTTTGGTCTATAAATATTAGAAGCATAGAAACGTATTTGAATTATGATATGTATTTTAAAATATCCATGTCCGGTATCAAAAATATAGATAGCCGTGTATGGCAAAAACCCTTATCCCAAACGAAATAATTTTGACAGGTGCACTTATTACACAGCTTTATAGCAATTACTTTCTGCCCGCCCACTTGGCAACCCACCCCTGCCGCAATTAGTGGCAAATGTATGCTCAAAGTGACATTTATGAAAAAAAGGGAGCATAATTTATCCGGCCGCTCATGTGTGCGAGCGGGAAGGAGATAAGCCAAAAAAGGGAAAAAAGGCGATTTTATTAAGGGTACGTAAGATGAAAGATTTGCATTGCGAGCAAATCTGTGAAGCGCACTGAAAAATATAGGTATGTACATATATATGTACATTTCCCGTATTAACCCTCGAAAAAATCCGCAAAGTTTTTCTCTTCGGTTTTCTTTATTCTCGCTGTGAATTCGTAATGAGCACTTGCGGTACACGATAATGCGGGGTATAGTGCTTATTCCGATTTCGAATCCGAGTCTCGACGCTCGAGTGCAAGATACCGAAAGGCAGAAACAACAGCGCACAAACAGTCGCTCACACAGATACGCTCACGCACACACACACTCATACACAGCTATGCTTGTGTGTTTGCTGTTTCTTTTTGTTGTTGTCGTTGATATTACTGTTGTTGTTGTTGCCGTGGCTCTTGCCGCTCGTTCATCGTTCCATTTACGACGCCAGCATGCCATCTACAGCACAGCGCACAAATATCATGCCCCGTGTCCAATTCGGTGGTGATATTCGACCAACTCCTAATCCGGTTTATTGCGCTGTTTTACTTCGCATTATTTCTGGCTTGTGCCCTTTGGCTCTCGGCTATTGTGCGAATGCTCCAGGTAAACGGTAAACGGTTGTGCAACTAGCACATAGGCTGAAATCAATTCATAAGGTCTTATATGCGTGAAGTTTTAGTTTTGAGATTTTTTAAACATCAATCTACGTTTTAAATATGCTACTGCTATGCCCCAAAAGTGTCTAAATGTTTTGCAATTGGAGTGATAGTTATTAAATATTATATTAATATTCACATAAATGTATGTATCTTTATCTTGTGTACTACATAGTTTGCCTTTTAAAATAATATAAAATTGTGCATATAAAAATACCCAACAAATTTCCAATAGATTTCGGTGTGCTAAATGTGTTGAGCATATCTCACCAAAAAGTT